TAGCATCAAATTTCAATGTCATCGACTCTGTTTTTTGTATCTGACCGTTTTCGAGAGCTTATATCCCGGGTTAGGGTTAAACTGGATAACTAAAGCTTACAATTAGTGCAACAAATCTTGAGGAATGAATTAGATTCATTCGAAAAATATGACGATTTCGTGAGAATTATGACATTGAGGAGAGAAAATAATTTGGGGGTTTAGCACTTTTTGTGGTTTTGCTTTCGACGTTGTGCAATATTTGGTGATGTTTATGGTGTCCGCACTTCTTTTTCTATTGGCTGTTTCCTAATTCGTTTGATATGTCCGCTTATTCACAATCAGCTATATTTGATTTCGATTTTCTTTTAGTGCTGATTTTTAGTTTTTTTGATTTTGTGAGAGAAAATTTTCGAGCTTAACTTTTAGTGACATCATTAAGCAGTAATTTGCTGAAGTTTTAGCATGCATCATATTCAGATTTCAATACTTTCATTTACAGCATTAATTTAATGGTTCACGTCAAAATGAATGGTAGCTGAAGTGGAAACATAATTATTCGCATCATGTGCAATTACACTGTGCGATTAGTTTAGTTGCTAATTCCATGTCAATGTGCGATTTTTTATTGCTAATTCGATGTCAGTGTGCCTACCGTATTTCTAATTATTAGCTGCTTGATGGTATATCAGCAATAAGCAAAAAAAATTTGAGCACAAAAAGTGAAATGAGACGTTGAATAATGAAGCGAGAATCATAAAAAACAAAATATGTAATAATTTTAGCAATTCATTAATTCTAATTCTAATAGATTCGTATTCATATAAGATGGATGTACCACATCTTTGAAGAATCGATGAATGAAATGGAGATGAGAATAATAAAAATTGATGATGGCCCAGAACCGAAAGGTTTCAAAGGATCGGAACAATGAAAGAAATGAAAAAATCAACTTGAGATCCTCCCTCTGCTTTCGTTCAACATCCTTGACGTAGTTCTGTTAGGTTGACATCAAATGAACGTGAAAAGGCAATAAAGGACCGAATAAAATAAACGAGAAGGGCGATGCAATAATTCATTTAATGTATTCATATGAATTCGGCACATAATTTCTGTATATTGATGATGTGATTTGAAGAAATTAATGAAATACACTGAAAGAAATGGAAGAATTGCGGAGATTCGTCCTTAGTTATGCCTATCAGCACTTGTAATGATGTAATTGATCCGAATCAAATGAAACATTATACTTTGTTATTTTGATGACGTTCGAAACATGTGTTATATGTATGAATAATGAGAGCAAACGATTTGTTGATAATTACTTCGATAAAACACTTTGTTTGTGCGGTTGAATTTGATTGCTTAAAGTCAGTGATCATTACATGATGACGGTCGTTAAGGAAAACGATCGTGATCGCACTTGACGCAATTATAAGCGAGGATCGAAGCTATTATGACACCGTATTATGGGCGAGTTATTATGAGTGGAAAACATACTTAAACGTTTATCGTTGGTAATGATATGAGACGTGAACGACGTTAGTAAATGCCATTTCGTCTCTTATCCTAACCGTCTTCTGATTGTGATTTGTTGAAGTATTCCTTGTGTCTCCGTAGTTCGGATCCTGACGTGTCCAGAAATATTTGCTCGGAATTTTTTTTTGGAAAAACTTAAAAGTCCTTGTTGTATTGGTTCAAACAGATCGTGTTATTTTAGCTGTTTATCATAAAAAGTAATTGACATTCTGATCGTTAACGTATTTGAAAGCACCTGAAAGGTAATCTGCGAAAGTTGTCTTTGGTGCTGTTTTTGTAAATTTTCGAAAACTAAAATTTCATAGTACTCATCAAAAATGTTTGACGGCTGAAGTCATGTTGAAGTGCAGTGGAATTGGCAATGGAAAGTTAAATGTCTGAATCTGTTTCCTGAAATTTATAAAAATAACGAGATTGACTGTCGCTGAGATTATTCTGGAGCGATTTGCCTATTTAAGTCTGTTTATTGGCTTATTAGCGCTTTTTCGACGTTTGTTCATCGATTATTTCGCTTTCAGTTCCCTCAGTGACTATGATCACCTTGTTCAACAAACTCAAAAGTTCACATCCTATGCATTCAGTCCGAATTCCGTTTAGATTTCCTTCAGCTAACTGGAAGTTTGTCGTCCCAAGCGATAATCCCTTATATTTGGGAGCTTTTGCATGCGATCTTTTGGATGAGGTGAGAAAACATTTCACTCGCTAAAAGTAATCATTTGCAGATTCATGTGGACAAACATTCTAATTCCAACGATATATACGTTGGTCGCGCTACCAGCCGTTGTACTGAATACCATCGTAATGTACGTCTTACTAACTGGTCAATTCATTCAGCGAAAAAAGTTCCAAGGAGTCTTCGTCATTAGTATATCAGAGTTGTTAGCGGATACGGTATTCTTGCTTACGTTCCTTATAGGTGGAGTACCACTGTTCTATGCGCAGGTGAGCGTTGAATAGTGCATTGGCTCTTTTTATCATATAGGCACATGGGTGAGCGTTTAAAGGAGGTGAGTGCATTTTGGATTGAGAAGAAGTGTGAGTGCATAAAGTGATGATCCAAGCGTGATCAGATTATCATTCATTAGATGTGGAATTGAGTTGCTTTTTAAGCATTATCATTCGATGAGCACAATCTCTGAAACTGTTGCAGGCTATGGTTATATCGACATCGCTCGACAGAATACTCGCTTATATAGCTGGTATCGCATGGCTTGTTTCATGCTTAACCAAGGCTTCAATGGCGTTGAACCGGTTTAGTTCATATCATTCCCGGTTCATTTTTCTTATGAAACAATAGTTTGTTTCATACCGTTTCGATTGCTCACAACCTAACATAAGCCTCAAGTATCAGAAGAATTTCTGCTTTGCAAATTCTCGAACTTATTGTTGCGGAAATGAAACAAAACTACGTGTGCAAATCAAGTTTGAATGCTGTTATCTCGTTGAAGAAAGCTCTACAGGGAAAAACGTTTTCAGTCGTTGAATTATACATTTTCTCTTCGCTGGCATTATACGAACACACCTGATTGTTCTATATGATTGATCTGAACGTCTGTCTGATTTTCATGCTAACTTTCATTGTCGATTTTGTTCAGTATTTGAAGAGAGGAGCGTTTTTCAGCAAAAGAAAGATGAACAATGTTTTCGATATCGAAATTTCTTTTAGTGACTCAAATTTTTGTGAAATTTTAATCTCACTTCGTTGATATCCCCCCC